CATAACAGCACATCGCCAAGCATGTATACACACACTTTGCAAGCCCATGATCTATGAAGGCGACTCGGTGCGGCATTGCCGACTACTCGACTCGCACCAAAGGGTTTAACCCACTTGATCGCGAGGTCGTTGTGCCAAGGAGTCCATGCTTCGATTTCTGCTGCTATAAGGTCCTAGGGCTTAGCGTTGAGAGCTTGACCTTTCGGGACTTTCAGGCTTAAAGTAGCATCATTCGAGCTTCTGCTTTGGTGTAACTGAATCCAAGCAGGGACCCCATCAATGTTCAGCAGCTTTGAACTGCTTTGAGTTCAGGCAGCCATGGTCCTAAACCCTAAACCCTCAAGCTTAAACCTTTAACCCTAAACCGATTCTAGCTGTCATCCACGGCATAAAAGGTGTCTGACCCGAAGTACAGCTTGCTGTTGTGCCACAGCCTCAGGTTCCCAGTCCCCGGGCCGAAAGGTTAGGCTTCGAGCTCGGGAATACCACAAGATCTTACCAGGGTTGTCGACCTCAGGGTTCACCTATAGTCTCCATTGCAGTTCCTTTTTTTGGTTTAACCAATTCTATATTAAGGATCCTAAACACCAAAAAGGAACTAGAGTGGAGACTCTAGGCAGAGTTTAGGGGCAAAGAGCTTGGTAATGTCGCTGAAATCCAATCCGAGAAGTCCTTTGCCAAGTAGCGGTGCGGCCCTGACCGGGCCTTTGGAGACATAATGATACCTGGGCGGGCACCGTGTTTGGGTTTAGGGCTTAGGCTTTACCTAGTGAACCCTACACTACCTGCGAGCGATCAAGCTAAGTCCTGATGCACTGTTCACTCAGCATCAACTTTTTGGTCTGTTGTTTGGAAGTGCCTGCGCACTGAGGTTTATAAGTTCCAAAGCAACATGTCACAATCCCGAACGGCAGGCTCTGCAGGTGCTCAGCCTGCACATTCAGTCTTGACTTGTCCAGATTTCGCATGCATCTCCACACCCTGAGTGGATCCTAAACATGAAAGCCATAAGGCAAGAAGTCACCTTCCAAACCTGTGTTCCAGTCCGTACTGGCATGGACAGGGTGTCCCTCCTTGCTTGGCTGTGTGCCGAAAACTATCTCATGCATCTCGTCTTCGTCCCATCTTGCGCTAAATTAATGAGTACATAGACAGGAACGTGAACATTTGCATTATAAGTATGTATATATGTATAATATATATATACACACACATATAGATATGCATGCATACATACGTACATACATACATACATACATACATACATACATCCATGCATGCATACATACATACATACATACATACATAGAGAGAGAGAGAGAGAGATAGATGGATAGATAGATAGATAGATAGATACAGCTACATGCATGTTCATCAAGGGAAGTCTATGTCTTGTCTATGTCTGTAGGGGCTAAGCCTCTCTTTGAAGGAGAGGGCGTGAGGCATCAGGAAGACCAGCGGCTGTAACACATTTTCAAACGTCACATGGGTAGTTCTCTAAATTGAATGTACTGGTAGCACGGCACTCCTTACAGAAAGGAAACTCAAATAGACCCTAATTTAGAGAACTGCCCACATGAAGATGTCAGGTTAGACGACAAGCGCTGCAAAGGCGTTCCGATGCTGGCTCGATCCTACAAGTAGAGTGCCGCCCTCAGGTTGGATGATCTTGAACGCGGACTGTAGGTAAAGCGGGGTATGTGAGTGGCATAATGTAAATGTTGAAGCAGAAAACATCCTTGCAAACCCCACAAACCGTACGAGACAGGGCAGAAGAGGAGCAGGGTTTCCCCACCCTGAGCCCTGGACTACCTGCAGCTAAGCAACATTTGCTCGCCGTCCTCATGTCGGCAGCCATAGACATGCCTAGCAAAAGGAAAATATGTGATGTCGAAAGCCTCCGGACTTAGGTCACCTTGGTTTGAATGTCTCAAACTTGAACATGGCGAACCAAAAATGAAGTAAGGGATGGATGTAAGGTCTCGTTAGGACTAGGTATCTTCCCTAGCCATACATATGATTTGAGGCTTAGGGCGAGTGTTTAGGGCTTTAGGACCTCGGGTCCAATGCCTCGGCCACTTATCACCAAGACTTTTAGTCGCACTGCAGGCCCGAGTTCTGTAGCTTTCTGTTTCACATTACAGGCATGGATGTTGCCAGAGTCTTATATCTACTTCAGAAAACACAGGCCTGCCTTCCGACGCACTCTCAATTTAAACGTATGTATATGTAGATGTATGTATGTATGTATATGTACATATGTACAGCCTGTTTGTGAGTTTCTCAAATTACAACAATGCCCCGGCCCCGGCAGAGATCCGGATTAATCAACCCTCTTTCTTTACCAGGTATCCCCAGTACATCACTTGTCGCAGGGGAAGGGCTACTTATGAAAGGTCAGCAGCATTCCTCAGTCGGTGTAGGCATGTACAACTATGTATATATATATACAAACACACACACACACATCGAGCTGTCTATATGTTAATTCGTTTGTTTTTTGTGCTCTGAATTGCTTGAGTATGTAGTAATACATTAACACACAGCTTCTTAAATGTGTATATAAGAAGATCTTGCAACCCCACGGCCGAAGCTCTGTGGCCGAGGCGCCCATCCTCGCATCCGAAGTACACCAAAGGGCCATCGCCGGAGGGCCGAAAGGAGCGGATCTGGCTCGAGGCGTTGAAGCGCCACCTCGGCAAAGGGGATTCTGGTGAGATCATACAGGGCTTTAGGGCTTTACATAAGTTTCGGGGGACGAATTACGTGTTATGCTCTCGCAACTCGGGGAGTTACATCACAGGCAAAGCAAGCATTCGGGGTTAAGGTTTTGAGTCCCGCGCTCGCACATGGCAGGCACGGGGTTAAGGTTTAGGGTTTGGGGTTTAGGTTGGAGGCTTTTGGCTTGAAGGTTTCCCTTTCGGTCTTGACTCCATAACTAGAGGGTGTACTCCCGAAAACAGTAGGCTACTGGATGCACAGGTAGGGTTTCTATGCAGGTGTTCAAAGACTGCAAAACCCCCTAATTCAGCACCAGTACTAAATTCGTATGATCGTATGATTTAATCTCTATTCCTTACCTGAGGGTTCTGGAGTTGCCGGGCGCTCAGAGGGTTACCGGGTCATAAGTAATGTAGGAACCCGATTAAGAAACCCTGGCCCTATAACCCCCATATAATATATGAGGATTCTTATTAAGAACCCAAATAAAGACCCAGCGATTCTTAATCAGGTTCCTATATTAGGCGAGCCCAAAGAAGGGCACCTTTTAGTCTTCAGTCGCATCCTGCTCACCAGGTCTTCTGGGTTTTTCGAGGGCAGGGCACGGGATGATGGGATTGCGAGCCTCAAGTTCGCCCTCGGACACGGCAGGCGTTCGGGTTGAGTGTGTTGGGGCTGTGCGGATTTTGGCTTCAGGGTTTGGGGTGAAGAGTTTAGGGCTGTTTGGGGCTTAAGGGCTAGGATGCTCCGAGGGTTTAGGGTTTAGGGTTCAGTTAAGAATTCGATTGGGGTCGCGATCCATTGTTGTGCCTTTTTTTGGTTAACCAATCTGATGGCTAGGATCCTATAATAACATAAACTTGGTTAGCCCAAAAAAAGGAACTACAATGGGGACTATAGGTAAAACTTCAGAGCTCTGGACCTGACCAAGCCCCATATAGGGAACCCCTGATCCTATCGGGACTCTTTAAAGCAGAGGACCTGGAAACAGTAGTAAACCCATAAGCTAAACAGGACTCCTGAGCCCTACTACTAAACCCTAACCCGAAACCCTAAACTAAACCCGAAATCCGAAACCCTGGACCCGAAACCCTAAATCCTAAACCCGAAACCCTAAACCTGGTCGGCCGCTCAGTTTGGACTTCTGGACCCACGGACCCGTTTATTCCAGCTAATATATGGGCCTTAATAATTAGAATAGGGTTTTGGGGTATATTTTACTATAATTATTATAAGGAGCCCCCAAAATAGTATAGGTAACTATTAAGGCCCCTATATTAGCCAAAAGGAGCCTCTTCTGGGAAACCAAACTGAGGGGCCTTGCAGCAAACCTTCAAGCGGGCCCCTAAGGCCTAAACCCCGAAAATAAAATCCTAAAAACCTGAAGGGTTTAGGGTTTAAGGGTAAAGCCTGAACCCTATACAGACCCTAGAGCCTAAAACCTTATAATTTTGACCTTACAAACTCTAGATCCTACACCCCAAAACCCTAAAGACCCTAGTCCCACGGGCCTTTCGACCACGCGAGACCCCGTTGACTCCAGGGCATAGAATGCACCATCCTCAGGAACATATCTCGGTCCTTTTCAGGGTTCCTTTTTGGGATCAAAACGGGTGGCGTGAACGACATGATGCCTGCAAACATGGCGGGAAATTATATGCTGATATGACACACTTCAGGGTGGCACTCAAAGAAAAGCTCTCAAGCAGCAAGAAAGCCTTTTGGGATCTATATGGGTTTCTATATGGGGGCCTTCTTGGGTTAAAGTCTTAAGGAGTAGGTCGCGCTTCCTCGACAGCCAACCCACACTCGACCTTTCAACCCAATCTGGCTTCTGAAGCCAAGGTTTAGGGTTTAGGGGTTTAGGGTTTAGGTTTTCGCAATCCAAGCCACATCGTTTCCGAAGAAGATGAAGCCCTTGGAAATCAGCGGGGCTGACCTCAGGGGCACTGCTTGGAAATGTCCCCGTGTAACACCCTCATACAGTTAAGGCTACGGCGACAAGGGTTTGTATAGAAAGTTGACTGGTAGATGATGAGCAGGATGCATGCATTGACCATTAACAACGAACTGAACTTCTGGGAAAAGCTCCCGCTGTATACCCCTGAAGCCAGTTCTTCCGGCAACTACAGTAGAAACTGTTGACAGCTCATGCATCTGGCCAAATCTTGGGGCACTTTGATTGAATTGGCAGCAACCTTGCCCAGTTCTAAGACCACCGGTGCAGAGAATCCTGTGTTTGCATTTTCCGACGCAACAGGCCATGTGGTCAGTGAGCCTCAAGTTTCCATGGGTACAACGCGACGTGCATTTGGTCTCTCCTTCGGCTCCGATCCTGTCGACGCCTTCTCAGAGTATTCGCCCGGATCTTTAAGCACGCTTGGCGGGTCTGTTGGCTCTGGGTGCGATTGCTGCTCTGCTTCTTCAGAACGCTGCTGCAGCATCCTTGCATACAGGCGCTTGTGGATGTCACGCACCTGCCCCTTCTGGATCACGAAGCCGCTGCACATCATGAACCCTGGCTCCTCACGGACATGCGCGGACGGGTCAAACCTGGAAAAGGTACGAAAAGCCACGACTGTCCCGATAGCATAAACGGGAAGGGCAATCAAGGCCGGCAGTGTAATTGCCAGGCCATATATCCCTAACATCCAAATGCACAGGGCAATCAAGAAAAACCATATGGAATTCCACAGAAAAATCAGTGGACCACCGATTGTTTCAGGATATGTCAAGAAGAAAGCCAGTGAGTGGCTCCCTGCCAGAGACTCCACGTAAGCAAAGTTCATCATGCAGGAGACGCAGGCCCAGCAGCTGAAAAACAGCGAAGAGACACAAGCGGATAAATACATCTGCTGTAAATGAATCACAACTGGCTCGCTGTCATCCTCCGTGTCTGGTGAACTCTGGTCGTAGTAGACAGGTCTTAGCCGACCACTCTCCTGTATCATTGCCATAGCCATTGGGAAAACCAGTGCAGCGACAGTTGAGGACTGCTGCCAGATGCCGCGCACGCCTTCTTTCAGGTCTCGCAAGTCACCGTGCATCTCAGCATGATTCAATATGTCCTCAAACAGGCAAAGCATCAAAACAGGTGTATCGACTTCAGTCTATCAAGAAATTGTGGACACAACAGTCAGCCGTTTATCGAAGACCAAGCAGCATATCCCAGGGCCTTGTCCAATCCCAGCATTTTCGGAAGCAGGTAGAACGCCAGCCCCTTCCACAAGGGTGCCCTATTGCATCCTAGAAGCACAGGTATCAATACTGCGAGAAGACAAGATCCGAGAACACCAATCGAACCCTCAATATTGTCTACCTTCCACCATGAAACCCTAGGCCCTAAATCCTACGTCTAGACCACCTTCAGCGACATCAGCCCAGCGCTGATCCAATGAAGCTGATACTCCTCACGCGCAGGAAAGTTCAGCGCCTGGAGTGCCATCTTTCTAGAGCAGCGGGCACTATATGGGGGTTTCAGAAAAGGGGAGCCTAATTATCGTACCCTAAATAGTAGGATCCATATTATGAGGACCCCAAAATAAGGTACCCCTAATTTTCGGAAAGTCGCGTATGACCATAGGAGCCTGCGTATGAGGAAATGCGGGGGGATTAGATGTAGTGCACGCTTGCTATATTGTGGAACCCTATTGAGGATGATCTGATTTATTCAGCAAGACTAAGCCCTTACATCCCAGACTTAGGCTTTTGAGCCGGATGCCTTGCAAAAGACATGCATTTCGACGCGCACACTCGCACGAAGCAGGTACCTCTGCGCTTGCATGTTTTTTTTTGTTTTTTGCTGGGCCTGTTCCCTTTTCCACAGGCTTGAACTGAGCTCGCCCTAAACCCTAAATCCTTGTCCGGTTGCGGCGGCCTATATTGGGGGGGTTTAGATTATGGAGAGTTTAACAGTAAAGGCCCATAACCTTATTTTTGTATGTCGTTGTCTTTATTTGTCTTTATTTGTCTTTATTTGTCTTTATTTGTC